GAACCAAAGGGTTGCGAGTTCAATTTCTGGTCAAGAGCAGTACCTGCGTGGGGAGACACTTGGTCAATATGCCCCCCCCCCCCATTCTATCTAAAAATCAATGGAAAAATATCCTCAGATGAGGATTAACAAAATAATCAATTAATACATGTCAAGTACTTAGAACACTGCCTGGAACGCGCTAATGTTTATTTAGCTTGATAAATGTTTATCTTTTTCATTATTCTATTATTGCTTGAATTCTTAGAAAACTACTATAAAACTCTGAGATGGTGATCATTAACGTTGATAAGCTCTATTATATCATTATTAATTCCTGTACTAAACATAAATCCAGAAAATCTTGTATCCTAGAATCTGCTTTGACTAGAGTATAGTATTGTGTATTTGAATCGAGTACTGAAAGTATTTTAAATGTTGACCTTAAAGAGTATTTTATTAGCTTTATCACAGAACTGGTCTCTTGAGGCTTACTTCAAAGTCTGTATTGACAGTATTGGATAAGCATCTCAATCCCTTAACGCTGCTGTAATTTCTTTGTACTGCTCTGTTCATATTATATTTCAGGGTCCTGAAATTTACAGTCTCTAAAACGGTTCCAGAGCCATTCTGTTTTCTATAACTCTAACTTTAGTGTATCTGGGAAAAGCAACTGATAAGACAAAGCAAGGCATTCTGATATATGTTATGGCATCCCACAGTAAGGGGAAGGCTTGGATCTAGTTGCTCTCATAGTCTTTATTTTATTTTTATTTTTATTATTTTTTGGGTATGTGCCCCTAGTGGGAACCGAACCCAGGACTCTCTGGTCCGTAGGCCAATGCTCCAACCACTGAGCCAAACTGGCCAGGGTTGCTCTCATAGTCTTTAAAAGTTGTAAATGGTTAGCATGCAGTATTATTAGTTTTCTAGAGCTGCCATAACAAAGTACCACTGAGCGGGTAGCTTAAACAACAGGAATTAATTCTCTCACAGTCCTCCAGATTGGATCCTTCTTAGGTCCCTCCCTGTGGTTTGTAGATAGCTGTGTTCTTTCTTGGTCTCACATGGTCTTTCCCTGTCCCGTCCTTGTGTCCAAATTTTCTCTTATAAAGACACCAGTCATATTAGATTAGGGCCCATCCTAATGACCTCATTTTAACTGAACTACCTCTTTAAAGGCCCTGTCTCCCAGTGCAGTCACATTCTGAAGCACTGGGGGTTAGGGCTTCAGCATAGGAATTGCGGGGGAGGAGGACACAGTTCAGCCCATAACATAAAACACATAGACACATAAAAATCCAAATAGTCCAGTAATACCTTTTACCTTCAACTGAAAGAAGATTGATTTGACATTTGTAGTAAAAGCTTACATTGCTTAGTATTGGAGAATTCAATAAAATGAGATTCGCTTTTATATGGTGGTTTTAGAACCTTCGTAAATAATGGCAAAAACAGCTAGCTCCCTTTAGCAAATGTAGAAAAGATCTGCTTTCTTTTTCAGTCCTCACCCGAGGATATTTTTCCGTTTATCTTCAGATAGAGCAGGAGGGAGGAAGGGAGGAAGAGAGAGAGAGAAACATCGATGTGAGAGAGACACACCGCCTGGTTGCCTCCCACATGACCCCAACCAGGGCCAGGAATGAACCGTAATTGACGTACTTGCCCTTGGCCGGAATCGAACCTGCGACTCTTTGGTCCGTGGGCCGATGCTCTAACCGCTGAGCACAACCAGCCAGGGCAAAGATCTGCTTTCTTGATCAGAAAATTTATTTCTGATAGTACTTTGACAGGTTTTTGTTCCCTAGCCTAATCCTAAAATGCCAAAAGTGGATTGAGAGGTACAATTTAGAAAGTTGTCACTCTTTTACCCCCAAATACATAAAAACTGGGAGTGCCGGAGGGTTGGGAAACTGAAATCTTTTGAGATAGTTAAGGGAATATGTCAACACCTTCCATACCCAGATGGGACGTTGCTTTGGAGCCATTCTTTTAAAATAGTAATACATTTTTATCCACATTTAGATTTAGTATTTATAAATGTGACATGTTTGTTTTATGTTTTAAATTTCATATATACTGAATTTCTGAGGAAGTACATTATCCAGTGGAAAGCTGTCAGAAACACTCATTTTATATGTTAGTATTGGCTCTTTGAATTTTAAGAATTAACTGACCTTCCCTCATTTTGGTGTTGCTTATATATGTGTGAAAGAGTCTTTGCATAATTGGAGCAGACCTACATTATATCTTTGCTCATATCTTACCACTGATACTAAAAACTTACTGAATGGCTGAATCTCAGTCAGTTGTAGCTCAAGAGTAAATTCCTTACATTGGATTTCTCAGTATATTAATAAAGAAGTGATTTTTATCTAGTTTTGCAAGAGTGAGCTGCGTAAAATAACATTTGTTTTTGTACCAGCCAAGTTGATTTAATATATATTAAATATATATATATATATTTGAGGTGTTTTTATATAAGATTTATTAGAAAATGTCATTTTCCCTCTTTCATGTCCCATGTCACTCTCCACTTAGAAACAAATATAACCTTCAGTTCTACACGAAAACATACACACACCCAGATACTAGATAGACAAACATCTTCCTTGTACTCCACCCTGCCCTGCCCACTGCTTACATAGCTATAGAAGCTGTTTGGGGTGTTTCTTTTTCTGCCACCCAATCTCTCCGTGGTAAAAAGCAACAACGCCTGCTATCCCATAGAATTAATTATGAGTTTCAGAGCAAAAGCTGGGAACTTCCTCGAGAAGGAAAGGCACAATCAGAACCAGAATGAGTGGAGGGACAAGGTCAGACTAAAATGAACAGAGCCCAAGCCACAACATACTTCCATTGCAGTGTTAGCACTGCCATTTAGAATGTTCCTCGGGGGCCGAGGGAGGCTTTTTCGATACCCATAACTCTTGTGACTGTTGGCACATGAAACTTGGAATAGAAGAGACTCAGGTTCTCCTGGCTATTGGCCCTGACTTGGTGGGAAGTAGCATGTGAATAGACCAAATGGTATGCTGGGTAAGCTCATGTTTGAAATCACTTATTGATAACTTAAAAATTTAAGTTTCATACTTAGCCCATTAATAGGCTTAATTTTCCAGGGTATTAAAATATATATAACTCTGTCTTTTTTTTTTTATTCTCACCCAAGGACATTTTTCCATTTTTTGTTCAGATAGAGTGGTAGGGGGAGAGAGAGAGAGAGAAACATCGATGTGAAAGATGTGAAAGGGACACATCGAGTGGCTGCCACCCGCACGACCAACCAGGGCCAGGGACAAATGCAACCGAGGTACGTACCCTTAGCAGGAACCGAACCCGGGTCTCTCTGGACCGCAGGCTGACGCTCTAACCACTGAGCCAAACTGGCCAGGGCAACTCTGTTTTTTTAATTATATGTTTTTTGTTTTTCATTGAGAAAACTATGGAGCTTAATATAGCTACAGCTAGCTGCATCCCAGTGTATAACAGTGTATCCAGACATGTCTACAAGCGGTCTTTATTTCAGATTTATAGACTGTAGCATTCCTTAGACAGAAATATCTGTGTCTAAACTCTCAGGAAAGGGAAGGCTTGGTCTCGGAGTCTAATGGAAGGAATGAGCTGAGCATCTGGTTGAAATGATCTTGTCTTTCAAAGTTGCTTAATGAATGATGACAGTGACAAGTAACAGCTCATTTAGAAAACAAGTACTGAATGAGACTGTGGACTGCAACACAGCATGCCAAAAATCTGGCAGTCCTATTTCTGATAATGATTGTGGAGTCAGAAATGGCCTTTTTCGCCCTGGCCGGTTTGGTTCAGCGGTTAGAGTGTCGGCCTGCGGTCCTGAGAGACCCGGGTTCGGTTCCCGCTAAGGGCGCGTACCTCGGTTGCAGTTTGTTCCCGGCCCTGGTTGGTTGTGCGGGTGGCAGCCACTCGATGTGTTCCTTTCATGTCGATGTTTCTCTCTCTCTCTCTGTTCCTCTCTCTCCCTCCCACTCTACCTGAACAAAAAATGGAAAAATGTCCTCGGGTGAGGATAAAAAAAAAAAGAAAAAGAAATAGCCTTTTTCTGAAAATCTTGAGCCACATAATTTATATATTGGGCAGAAATGTTTGTGGGGCTAATTTAGTGCTTTGGCTCTGGGTTGGCTCTGTCCTCTTGTTATTGACTACACAACATACCCACACTTCTCTCCTGAATGAACAGGCTCATAATTAGGTTGATGACTGATTCTTGGTTGAAGTACACAAACACTTACTGCTGCATTATTCCTCTGTTGACATTGTCCCCGTTTGACTGTCACATTTTGGCAACTCAAATAGGCTTTCAGGCCTGGTGCCTAAAAATATAAGACAAAAATTGCGTTTTATCAATTAAAATTTAAAACCTATCTTTTTTTTTTTTTAATTTTGCTGGGTCTAATACACTGCTAGGACAACATAAAAACGTTTTGTATATAATTCAACATTTAATATTTGACAATAAGTGGGGAAAAGTAGAAGCTTGAGATGAATAATCAGCTTTACAGACAAAGTCCAGATGGTGACAAGTTGAGTCATTTGTTTATTGATTGGCAGGAGGTGAGGGGATGAGAATTTTCCTCACACGAATTTGGCAGTTTGAAAAATTGGGTTACACTTTGGTTGTTTTCTGAGCCCATTGTGCACAAGTCATGGTGACTCCAGCAAACAGGCTTTTGTCAACTCAGGGAGAGCAAGGCAGGAATTCTAGAGATAGTCGAAGTTCGTCCTTGAAATGGCAGTGGACATCTGAAAGTAAAAAAGACTTTGAAAGCCCTCACCTTCCCTAATTATAATCGCAAAGGAAGTCAGAGCCCTGGGACCTTCCCTGGATTACTCAGCCTCGGCCTCAAGAAGCGGCTGCTTTCCTCTTTGTTCGAATCAGCCTGCAGCTGTCGGCTCTCATCTCTATGATGACATAATTGACATTCATGACAGTTCGAAATTGTTTATGCTGTGGTCACATAGGCAATAAATTTTTTATTATTTTGCAGCATTGGACACTTTTTCACCATGTTGACAGCATTTTAAATGTATTTGTCAATTTTCCTAAATTTTAACTGAAGAAAACTTGAAGAGTTTATACTTGAGGACTAAAGAGTGGCTGCCAGTTATCAGGTCAGTATCTCCCCTGTCTCATCCCCACTCTTCCCCTCAACCCCAGCAATGTCCTCGCCATTCTAAAGCATAGTGCAATTTTACTGTCTTTCATTTACATTTCATACAAAAATGTTTTGCAATGTTGTGTGTATTGAGATTAGATTCAAGTGTATAGAAAAGCAAAGAATTGCTAAATTTTAATATTTATGAAAAAGGGTTATTGGAATATGCAGTAACAGATCTCTTGGTTTTAAAATTATTATACAGCTGTGGCCCTTTTTTTACTCCTGTGTCATATTTGTCTTGTATTCACTTCATGCAGACACTAAGCTAAATGTGTTGGTACATATTAGCAAGATGTTCCAGATATTCCCATTTGTGTGCAGAGAGATTTACAAATGTAGAGATAACAGGCATTTTGTTCTTTATGCCATTGACAGAAAATAGACTTTTTTCTTGCCTAGGCTAGACTGCTTTATAATTAAAGTGACCCTGAAGATTATTTCAGTTTTACTCTCTTGTGAGGATAGTTATGTATCACAACAAATGGAAAACTTGTATTTAGGTACAGTCTGGGTTTTGTTCTTTATAATATAGAAGTGGGCAGGGTGGGCAAATAGGTTTGCAGTTGTGAGTACGTGAAACACAGTTTATCCTTGTGTTAATATTCATTAATTATTGTGTTCTTTATTTGTATTACAACTGTAAACCTACTTTTGTCCACTCTTGTACCTCTTATTTCATTGGATTATTCTAACAAATGATTCTTGGTTTTTACCCATAGAAGCTCAGAATGGAACCAAGAGGGACTCCAGAGATTATCTAGTCTGTCTGATTTCAGCAGCGAGGAAACGGCGCCAGAGCAACTGGGTCATCCTTTCCCCGCAAGGTCTGGAGCTGTTCAGTGCAGAGCTGAGACTGCAGGTCCGTGCCCCACTCGAGTGTCTACTCATACCCCATTGCTTCTGCAAGCACAGTTCTGGATTGCTGAATGAGAATACTTAAGGACTATGAAAATATTGAAGAAAAAGGGATATGTGAGGACACTGTCATTTTTAGCTCTATTCCTACATTCCTACCCTGGTGCTTACACATCCAGTTGACATTAGTACAGTTGATTTTATGGGGTCCCATTAGCAGTGTCCATTATCCTGTTTAACACTGTAGGAGGGGAGAGAAATGGAATAAAATAATAGGATTTTTCCTCTGCCTTATAATCTCTCAGAGAGAGAAAAAGGTGAAACCATCAGGAAGGGGAGATTTTCATCTGACAAACCAGGTGACCCCGCTGGTGGTTTAGTGCCTCATCGCTCTTCACTCAGGATGCTAGCGCCCTCTTTACAAAGGGCCGTGCCGGTATTTCTGAGGTCACTGATCTTGGCTGCCCCCAATTTTGGTAATACCTTTCTTTGAATTCCTTTGGAGAATGAGAGGGGCTAGTAGTTATTAATACTTAAACCATTGTTCAGATTGTATCAGGAACTTGGCAATATGTTTTACATTTATTAACACAGTCTCCACACTAACCCTACAATTTAGATAACATCACCCCCCTTTCACAGATAAGAAAACTGATAATCAGAAAACTTGCCCAAAGTTACATAACCAGGAAGGCCTGGCATCTATCTGACTGAGAAGCCACATGCTCTTTCCAACATTCCATCTAGATTAAGTTCAGCTTTATTAGGTTGGTTGTTGTTTTTGTAGTTCTTATTTTTAAAGTAACTGCTGTGAGCCCTGGCTGGTGTGGCTCAATTGGTTGGGCATGCTCCTGTGCACTGAGAGGTCCCAGTTCCATTCCCAGTCAGGGCACATGCCTGGGTTGTGGCCCAATCCCCAGTAGGGGGCGTGCAGGAGGCAGCCAATCGATGTTTTGCTCTCACATCAATGTTTCGTGCTCTCCCTCTCCAACAATCAATAAACTTTTTTTTTTTTAATCCTCACCCGAGGACATTTTTCCATTTTTTGTTCAGATAGAGTGGGAGGGGGAGAGAGAGAGAGAAACATCGACGTGAAAGGGACATATCAGGGACACATCGAGTGGCTGCCTCCTGCACGACCCCAACCAAGGCTGGGGACAAACCGCAGCCAAGGCACATGCCCTTAGTGGGAACCGAACCTGGATCTCTCTGGACTGCGGGCCAGTGCTCAATAAACTGTTCTTTAAAAAATAGAAAAGGCCCTGGCCGGTGTGGCTCAGCGGTTAGAGCGGCGGCCTGCGGTACAGAGAGACCCGGGTTCGGTTCCCGCTAAGGGCACGTACCTCGGTTGCAGTTTGTCCCCGGCCCTGGTTGGTCGTGCAGGTGGCAACCACTCGATGTGTCCCTTCACATCGATGTTTCTCTCTCTCTCTCTCTCTTCCTCTCTCTCCCTCCCGCTCTGTCTGAACAAAAAATGCAAAAATGTCCTCGAGTGAGGATAAAAAAAAAAAAATAGAAAAGAACTGCTGTGAGATAGCTCTAACACTGATGCGAGAATCAGTCACTAGTCACTAAAGCTCCCTAGTGAGAAAGTTAACACTTTAAAGCTGAAGTTACATCGAACATGTTTTACCATGTGGTAGAAGATTTGTACAGCATGTCCTGGAACACAAGCTAACAGCGGTGAGGTAGGAGTTTTCCCCATGTGTTCCTTCACCTGAAGGCAGTAGCTCTGGAGGGAATCAATGAGTCTTTTGTGTGCCTCCTGGAATGTAACGTGCTCCAAGAGTTGGGAATTGCCGGAGGGTGTGTGAAGCAGTCACAGTCACGCTGTGATTCACTACAGAAAACTGCATGAGAATGGCAATCTGGAAGTAAAAAGTGGGAGAGGGAAATTAGTATTTGCTCTACTTTGGAAGTTATAAAATGTATTTTACCATAAATGTTGGTCAGAAGACCCTAAAACAGCCATCTAATTTCTATGTGTGGTTTGTGAGAAATTAATCTTGTGGAAAAGATAGACTTTGTGCCATGAAATTTGCCATTTAACTTATTTCAAAAGATGCAAGTCCTTGTGGAAATGTGAACTTAAGTGAAATACATTAAGTAGCCTGGCCAATTAAGATGTTTAAAACAATATATTTTTAAGAAGTCATTTAAAATCATTTTTGCATATGGTTACTTTTAAGTCTTATTTTTCCATATGAAATGTAAATATTGTGATAGATATTCTCTGTGAAAGTAGACAATTTAAAAGAAAAATTTCTCCCGTACTCCAACTGAACATTATCATTGCTCGAATTTCATTTTAACCCATTGCAGAGGGATGCCAGAATGTTTTATATATGGATTTTTTTTTCTTTATTGATTTTTAGAGAGAGGAAAAGAGAGAGAGAGAAACATCGATTGGCTGCCTCCTGCATGCCCCCACTGGGGATCAGGCCCACAACCTGGGCATGTGTCCTGACCAGGAATCAAACTGGTGACCTCTTGGTGCATGGGTCAATGCTCAACCACTGAACCACACCATCCAGGCTATATATGGATTTTGAATCTGGTTATCTAAAGGTGAGAAATCTTTATATGGTGTAACAGTTTTTGGTGAAATACCATTAATTGTAACACAATTTTACCTGAATTTCTAGTGAACAAAATGAGTGACTAACTCATTCTGAGACCTCCTAGGGTGTTTGTAAATATGCCTGCAGAGCCCTGGCCAGTTTGGCTCAGCGGTTAGAGCGTCAGCCTGCGGTCCGGAGAGACCCGGGTTCGGTTCCCGCTAAGGGCATGTACTTCGGTTGCAGTTTGTCCCCGGCCCTGGTTGGTCGTGCGGGTGGCAGGACACACATCGATGTGTCCCTTCACGTCGATGTTTCTCTCTCTCTCTCCCTTCCTCTCTCTCCCTCCCACTCTATCTGTACAAAAAATGGAAAAATATCCTCGGGTAAGGATAAAAAAAATATATATATGCCTGCAGAGAGAATGATAAAATTGATCTATGTGAGTAGTGATGAAATCAATAAAGTGAATTTTATCTTCTCAAAGCATTTTATACTATAATAGTTTACTCTTCTTGTCTGTCTCAGTTTTTTTTTTTCCTTTCGTAATATCAAATTAACTCTGTCTTCAGAGATTGTCTGATTGTGTCTCTGCTTTAGGCTTTCAGGATGAATCTGGAAAAACTCAGCAAGCCTGAACTCCTGACACTGTTCAGTATTCTTGAAGGAGAGCTTGAAGCCAGGGACCTTGTTATAGAAGCTTTAAAGGTATGTTAAAAAGGGGAAAAAAGAGATGTCATCATATGTTTTGAAAGTTGTTTCATTGGTTGTAATTTATTTAACCAGGTATTTCTACAGCCCTGTTGAAGTTAGAGGCCTGGGTGTACTTACTGATACTTGCAGTGGCAGCCACCTATGTGGTATGATATTAGGGACACTGGTAAAGCCTTTCTGTCCCCAGAATAGTTCCTTTGGTTGCTCTACCTGATGTCTGGACCTTGAACTTCATTCTTTAGCTTAGTGGTCTTAGCTGTGTTTGAATGCCATCCCCTTGACAACTTGATGAGAACTACTTCCTTAAAAAATGTGTCTACAGCCTGGCTGGTGTGGCTCAGTGGACTGAGCGTCATCCCATTGACTGAGAGGTCCCAGTTTGATTCCCAGTCAGGGCACACGCCTGGGTTTCGGGTTTGATCCCCAGTATGGGGTGTGCCAGAAGCAGCCTATCAATGTTTCTCTCTTACATCTCTCTCTCCCTTCCTCTCTCTCTTCAATAAAAACTTTTTTTTTTTAATCCTCACCTGAGAACATTTTCGCATTTATCTTCAGATAGAGCAGGAGAGAGAGAGGGAGAGAATCATCAATGTGAGAGAGACACATCAACTGGCTGCCACCCACACGACCCCAACCAGGGTCAGGGACAAACTGCAACCGAGGTACGTGCACTTATCAGGAACCGAACCCAGGATTCTCATCCACGGGCTGATGCTCTAACTGCTGAGCCAAACTGGCCAGGGCAATAAAAACATTTTTAAAAAATGTATATACAGCCCTGGCTTGGTGGCTTAGCAGCTGGAGCATCAGCCCACAGACTGAAGAGTCTCAGGCTTCAGGGCACATATCTAGGTTTCAGGTTCACTACCCAGTCAGGGCACATACTGGAGGCAGCCAATCAAAGTTTCTCTTTCATATCGATGTTTCTCTCTCTCTCTCTCTCTCTCTCTCTCTCTCCCTTCCTCAATCTCTAAAATCAATTAAAAAAACATCCTTTGGTGAGGATTAAAATATATATATATATACACCATATACCATAGTTCAGGATATATCTGTGAGATCAAGGACCCCATGAAGACCATCCATGAATTCTCTAGACCCCAGATTAAGAATTGTGACTTTTGTTTCAGTATTTGATACCCATTAAAATACAAGGGGGAGGGTTGTTACCTGTACTTTCCACCTGATTTTGCTGTAAACCTAAAACTGCTCTGAAAAATAAAGTCTAGCCCTGACTGGTTTGGCTCAGCGGTTAAAGCTTCAGCCCGCAGACCAAAGAGTCACAGGTTTGATTCTGGTCAAGAGCACTTACCTCGGTTGTAGTTCATCCCCAGCCCTGGTCAGGGTCGTGGAGGAGACAACCAGTCTATGTGTCTCTCATGTCAATGTTTCTCTCTCTCCCTCCTTCCCACTCTATCTGAAGATAAATGGAAAAAAATACCCTTGGGTGAGGATTAAAAAACAAAACCAAAAAATAAATAAAGTCTAATTTTTAAGAAATGCAAGGGGTGGGGAATAACTCTTTTTTTTTTAATCCTCACCCGAGGACATTTTTCCATATTTTATTCGGATAGAGTAGGAGGGAGAGAGAGAAACATCGACGTGAAAGAGACACATCGAGTGGTTGCCATCCACATGACCCAACCAGGGCCGGGGACAAACTGCAACTGAGGTACGTGCCCTTAGCAGGAACCGAGCTCGGGTCTCTCTGGACCACAGGCCAACGCTCTAACCACTGAGCAACCGGCCAGGGCGGGAATAACTCTTTTTAAGTGTCATAAATTTTTACACGTTGGTAAGGATGTTTCCCAGTCTGTCTTGAGATGAGATTTGGGGAGAGGGAGAAACCTTAAGTGTGCCTATGTGAGTAGTAGGAAGACGACACCCACAGCGGGGGAAATGGCCGAAGAGGAGGAGACTGAGGGTGCTAAAGAAGCATAATCCCTGTCAAGTGTGACTGAGTCTAAGTATCTAGGAAGACTTATAGTTTAAAATTATAGTTAGAGGTTCTATTGATGTTCACCCTATAGTTCATTAGGTTTATGAAGTAAGTGCTTTACTACATTTTTTCAAAATTACCCTAGCTCTTTATATTAAATATTATGTTCATATATCATGTGTGTTCATATGAAGCTCCTTTGTTGAAGATTTTCTTATAGCAACAAAGATAATGTTCTCTTTGCCTTTCTGGGAGGCTCCGAATTGGTGACTCCCTGAGTGGCCAGCTCAGTGGAATTCATACAGAAGGCTGGCTGCGTCTGTTCTATTCTTTAGCTTGTCTTCCTTTCTCCCTGCGTACACTGAAGTAGAGTGAATATGTTCCTTTGCTCATATCTGGGTAGTCTTTTCTTGGATTACTTTGAAATTATAATTGTGATAAAAATGAAATCTAAACCTGTTATTTCTATATGCTGTTAAATTAGAGTGACATTAATTTATATTATTTAAGGCTGACTGAGAAAGACTGACATTTCTATCTAATTAAATATGCTACAGGGCAATTTTTCATTGAACACTGTTTCCTATGTCTTCCCTCGTAGCTTTGAAATGGTGATAAGTCACTGCCAGTGGTTTCATTTCCCCAGAGTGCACGAGGCACTCCCCTGTGATGTGGGCGGATGCGTCTGGCTTGCTTTCCTTCCCCTGCTGGCTTTAGTCTTGCTTTGCATGACTTCCCTGTGATTTTTAAACAAAAGTCATACGATTGTGCCTTTGACAAATGCCTAGTCACATAATGTTAAAGATCTTTGCCTGGGTGCGCCCATCATGCCCCTGAACGTAAATGTGTGACTTCAGTCATTCCATCTGTCTGAAGCAAAATGTCTTGTCTGCAGCAAGAATCAATGATTAACAACTAGTACTGATGTGTGATACTATAATTTTCATGACATTGCAAATACTCCAATAGTGTAGGATTTTTCTTTTCCCTTTAGTTATATTCTGTCAGTGCATATCATGTTCCCCGTATCCAAGGAACAGTCCATGGTTGCTAATTATTTGAGTGGATGTCTCTGGTTGCCCTTAACAATGCCTAACTTTTTAATGACTCCCCTGACAACATATTGCATATATCATGTTTATTCTGGGTGGTGACTCATTTCTGTCACATCCACAGACCTTCCTCTTTGACACTATTGATGATTCTCTCCCTTTCTCTGAACACATTCTACTCTATTTCTCTCAACCCCATCCCACTATTGCCAGTAGACATAACCTGCTTAAACCCAGGGCACCCTCTCATTTCTTATCCCATGTTTATTTGATCGATGAAGAGAAAAGGAAAAGGCTGGGGACGTTTGAACTGGTTCTTACTCCTCATTCCTAACGCCTGCCGTTTCCCCGCTTCCTCCCCTGGTTCTCTAGGTCTAGCTCTCCTTGTAGGAGGCGTCGGCTCAGAGCTGGCAGTTTCACTCCTCCCTAGGCCGAACCAGGGAGAACTGTGCTCATGGTGACCCCCTTTAGAACTAAGAAAGCATTTTCAGGAGCAGCAATATTATAAATAGCAATCAGAGTTTCTAAAACTGCAATAGTGGAGCAGTGTGCGTTCGATAGACTCCCCTGAGGATCTCCTGCTATTTGTACTGGGATTCCAGGAAGCAGTTTCCTGTGAATGTCACAGTTGACCTACACAAAAACTTTTGGGCCTCAGCCCCCCTGTAACTAGGGCAGGAGTTTGGGGGTGGCTACCTCTAATGGGAAAAAAAAAATCAAAGGACGACCTTATTTTCTCTTTGCTTTTCAGCTTTGGAAACCATACAAAAACCTTTATGTCCGTTTTGCTCATCTTTATATCCTTAGCACCCAGCATAGCGCCTAGTACATGGGCTCAATAAATATTTGTTGAACAGAGGAAATGAGTGTGCCGTTGTGGTATGTTGCTTTAAAAGATTGCCCTAATATTTCAAAGTGAATGCTGTGAAGTATTAAATTGTACAGCCTGTTCTTATGTATGCTGTAACATCCTGCCTTCTGGCTGTAATGTTAACAGATGCTTAGGTGCTTGGTGCACGTGTTTTCCTAAAATATATTTTTTCTTCAGGAATCCAGTTTTAGTTCGTTTAGGCAGCTTCTGACAAGTTGAAAGAGCAGCGTGAGAAGCAAGAGCTATAATTAAGGGAGCATCTTGATATAAGATACCATTCAGAATCAGGCACAAGTGTTGTATTTAGTCTCGACATAGTCTCCGAGGTAATCAAATGATCTTCTGACGCTTAAGCTGAGGGCAGTGTCGGGGAAATGAACAGCCTCACCAGAAGCATACATCTTTAAACAGTCTATTGTTAGAAAAAATAAGTAGCAGCTGGGGTCCAAATTGTTTCAGACCTTTGAAAAAAGCAATTGCCATAACAGATTCTTAAAAGTTGAAAGGAAACCTGGTTTTATTTGTGGAGTAGTTTTTGTTTGTTTTGATTCTGTAATACGTCAGGATTTGCTGCATTATTTCGGTAGCTCTTGCTTAACAACAAACACCCATTAGACTTAGACTAATATGGTAGCTTACTAATTTTCTTCCTTTTAAGTATTCTTTTTTTTTTTTTTAACATCCTCACCCGAGGATAAGTTTTTGTGGCTTTTTTTTAAATTGATTTAGAGAGAGACATTGATGTGAGAAAGAAACATCCATCAGTGGCCTCTGGTACACCCCCGACTAGGGATAGAACCCGCAACCTACGTATGTGCTCTGACTTGGAAGTGAACCTGCAACCTTTTGGTTTAGGGGACAATGTTCCGTCCAACTGAGTCACCTGGCCAGGGCTAGTATTCTTTCTTAATTCATGCTTAGTGGATTGAAAAGGTTTTGGTCTGTGATCTAAATAACTGATTGGTTTTTCCTTTAAGTAAAAAAGCTTTTTTTTTTTATTCTATTTTTTATCTTTATTGTTGAATGTATTACAGACGTTCCTCATTTTTCCTCCATTGACCCCTCCTCCCCATCCCCCCCCCCCCCCGCCTTTTCCCACACTGTCGTCTGTGTCCATTGGTTATGCATACAA